TCTGTCCAATAGGCTGTAGAACTTATTTCTAAAATGGATGGGGGCCTCTGGAGGACAGCCTGAGTGTACCCTGGGGCTTAAAATCTGATTTGTAATGCCAGAGACTCAATGTATCATAGACTTTCATTTCCAGGCTAAAATGATTTGAAAGATTTGATTGTGAGCGAGAACAAACCATGTTGATAAAATTCTACCATAAATGTGATTGATTTTTTCATGAAGAGTCAAACAGTGATTACTGTTGACTCACCTGGCCAGGGATTACCCACTTATGAAAGCCAAGGTAAGGATATGGGTCTTTGTTTTGAGAGCTGGGGAAAGCCTAGCCTTGTGTCCCAGCCCTTCTAGTTTCTCTGCCCCAACCACTTAGGCCTCCTCTCTGTCCTTCAGATGCCATGGTCTGTCCACAAACATAGGCTTTCTCTCTGCAACTCAGACACGTGGGAACCTCTGGCTGCAAGAGCTTTGTCTCTGCTCATTGTATGCCATGGCACTCCTGCCATGTGGGCCTTTTCTCTGACACCATGGTCCTTGCACCATGTGGCCTTTGCACACGCCGTTAGTGAGATAGAGCTGGAAGTTCATGGAGGCCAAGGTGAATAGAATTTGCAGCGTAGAGTACTGGAGACAGAGTTGCACAGAAACAGAGGAGACCCTTTGATTATTCTATTGATCAGCATATGCATGTGAGAAAACTGCCCAAGGCTGGAGAAAGAACCACACAAAGGGATTAGAGGGAACAATACTCTAAGCTCTAACGGACCAGGCCTCTCAGTGGGAGGCCAGAAACAGTGCCTGTTCCCAAACAGCCAGAGTAGAAAACATCATAATTCACCAGGCATCAGGTAGAACAATGAGAAAAGTATTGCTTCAGTAGAGGGGAAGAATATTAACCCTGGATTAGACTATGTTAGTGCTGCCTAACAAAGCTCAAAAGCAAGATGAGGACACATTAAACTGTTTGCGAGTAAATTAACCACATCCTGGAACAAAGTTTAAGAATATTAACAGGAATACAAAAATATCCAGGAAAAAATTCACAATGTTCACAATGTCTAGAATCCAATGTAAAATTACCAAGCTTGCAAAGAGGGAGGAACACGTGACCCATAATGAGGAGAATACTCAGTTAATAGAAACTGACTCAATATTGACACAGATGATATCATTAGTAGACAAGGACATTGAAACAGTTACACTATATTCCATGTATTTTATAAGCCAGAGGAAAAATTGAATATGTTAAATAGAAGCATGGAAGATAGTTTTTAAATCCTAACTCATAAATCTAAAGATGAAAACTATAATGTGTGAGATAAAATACTGGAGAGGATTAATGAAACTAGACATTGCAGAAGAAAAGATGAGTAAACATGAAGATACAGCAATAAAAACTACCCCAAATAAAATACAGATTTTAAAGACTGGGAAAAAAGTGAACAAATAGAGCATCGGTGATCCATGGCTTCTTACATATAGTTGCAATGTTTTTAACAATCGACTTCCTACCTTATCTGCTATATCATACTGTGCTTGCCTCCAAGAGTTCTTCTGTCAGCCATCAGAGGGCGCTCTGCTCCCAAAGTAGGAGGCACTGGCGAAGGCTGAGTTCTGGTAACTAGGCACCACAATAATTGAAAAAAATTCTGGCCTACAGAAAAAAAAAAAAAAAAAAAAAACAGCCAGAACAGATAAAAATTCTGGAGGACAGAAAAAAAAAAAGAAAAACAAAGACATGCGCATTTGTGGAATCTCCAACAGGCCTTTTCAAATAAGGAAAGTAGCATTTAGAATCTGTGAGG